TATTTCTAGGTGTCAAGAATATGGGTGGGCTTAATTCCTTTCCCTCTATAATTATGTCTTTTCTAATTTTTCTACAGTGACATGTTGGATATTACTTGTGTGACAAAAATATAAGTTTTAAAAATGGCAATGACATTGAGTTCCCATAGTTTTCGCCAAAGGCTAGTATGTGCAATGGCTCCCAGATTCCGGAACGTGCCTGTTTGCGTGGGTCTCATTGCAGCTGCGTAGACCTCCTCTTTAGATAGTTTCATGACTATTTTAAAGTGAGGATGAGAATCAGGTTTCCTGGAGTTCCCGCTCATCCTCCATCTTCCCAGATCTCTCTAGAGTAATATTTTGAAAGCTATTTTATTTTTCCCTCTGATATTGTTACTCCTGACTTGGGCTATACAATGTTGACTCTTCTTACTTCATTTAACCTTTGATTTCACAAAGATTTTACACCTGGGTACAAAGTGGGTTTGTTTTTTTAGGAATTTTTTTTTTTCTCAGGAGATTTCATTTTAAAGTATGTGGACCCTAACATGCATTTTGTAAAATAATTTTCTGCATTAATGTTGTTTTGCTTCACTTCTTAAAGAGTAAAGATTTAAATTTAATTCATTTTCCTTAGAAAGGACTATAAAGACCATATACCATGGCCGGAGGAAGATCAATGTCTTTTTAAAGGGATACCATAGTTGCGAAAAAGTCAATTGACTTTTTTTCATGGCTTTGTCAATTTCATGCCACTTTTGTTCAGTTCTGTTCAATTTGGTGAAATTATTTTTTAGTACTTATTGAGCTCCTCTGTGAAAAATATTTCTGTGGATATTAATGATTCATTAGCCAGTATTTCAACAGGGTTATCCTTGAATTCACAGCAACATTGAGAATTATGTTTGTTCCAACACATCTGTTATATTAGTCAGCTTTTAGTTCTCTATTATGGGAATCTCAGAAACCATTTGCTTGGGTTCAGGTTATCTGTGAATTTTCATATTATTTTATGGCCACCAGCTGCATTTTATGACTATATATTAAATCTTTTATTTTTTCAAATAACTTTTCCAAATGGTCTCAGTTTCTAATCCAGAGGAAATCAGGCCTATGCCCAGATATCTACTGTTCAGCAAGTTACAGCTACTGCAAAACCCCAAATAAACGAAAAAGAAACAAAAAGAAAACTCTTGCTCAAAAAGGAAAAACCCTGTGTAAAATGCCAGTGTGCCAAAAACTTCATACCTGACCTTTCCCTATATCTGTTCTTGGTGGGACATGCCTTCAGCTTTTAATTGGAAACTTTTTCATAATTGTTGCCATTTAACACATTTAGTCTGTCAAATCACGGGATGTCTTTATAGCCATATAATAAACCCTAGAGAACAACTTCTCTGACTGTAGCCATCTGCAATGATCACAAGAGTAGCTTACAAAATACTGACAATCTTTATGGTAATAGGATACATATGGCAGGCCACAATTACGTGTAGCTGCATTCAATTAGTGTTGTACAATTACACAGTTTTATTGCTTAGTTAAAACAGTGAAAGCACTACATACTGGTAATTTGCACTAATCCCCGTCTCTTTAATAGCCCCTCAGTGTTTAAAATGTGGGGTAACATCTATAGTATTTAAGGGGCTTGGGATGAACATTAAATTATATCTCATGTTGTGAATAGTCATTGATTGACAATCAGTGGACTCCCACCTCACCTGTGGGTCCTGTTTTATGGAGGCTTTAAAATACAGTTATTGCAAAAAGCACTTTTTTTTTTTTTAACACCGGAACCCCACTTGCTGGATCGGGTTGCCAAAGCCTGTGCTTGCAGCCTGTTAAATGTCCCTCCTGGAAGATGGTCAGGACAGGGGGACAGCCAGAGGAACAGAGTCAGAATTGATTCAGGGGCGGTATAAGCCAAGGACTCCATATTTTAAATGTGAACTTGTTAGAGGCTTTTCCCATTCCTAACTTTTAATTAAAAACTTAGTTCAAAGTAAATTTATAGCTGCCATTTGGGAAAATACTTTCTGGAGATGGTTTTGTGAGTGAGTGAGTATGTGTGTGTGTGTGTGTGTACATACACACGTGTGTTTGAAACAGATGTATGTAGTAATCTGTGGTTTTACCAGAATTTTAATTACATTTTTCAGTGGCCCTCCTCGTGCCCCTCTGTAAGTGGCTTGGTAAGAGAGAAGGCTGAGCCCAGCTTGGGTTGGCCCAAGGGCTAACAGGGAACCCCAGTTGTGAGGCGGGCTGATTATACTGCTTGGGCAAGGTGCGCTCCCATCGGAGGTGAGGATACTCTGGAGTATGTTCTTCTGTATCCTTCTCCCAAAGTGTTGACAGAGAAAAACCCAGAGCAACCTTGTTTCCTGCCCTGCCTGACAGTTAGTAAGTTAAACAGAATTCCAATCGAGAGTTCTAGACATACATTCACCTGCAAAAACATTTTGCTGGAGCATTGCGAACATAGTGGTGTCTAGAAGTGTTTTCAGTTACGTGGATCAGGCCTTTGTCTCTCGTTCTTATTGCCTGTCATAAGCATCACATTAACCTCTTTATGTCCATGAAAATTCTGTGTGCTTTTTCAAAGCAGAGGAGGGGGACATGGTGGAAGTGATAAAGATAAACAGAGCATTAAGATGATGGATTCTGTGTGTTTTATTTAAATGTTGTTGGTTTATTTGAAAGAATTATTACTTTTATGTAATCCTAATTTTCATTATTTTAGTTAAGATTTTTTTGGTGCTTTTTTTCCCCTTAGGAATAGAAACTTTGAACTTTATTGCTCAGTATATTAAATGTAACTGGCATATGGCTGTCTGGGAGGTAGAATTCCTAGTCAAATGTAGATGCTCAAAAATAAAACCTTTGCTAAAGGAGAATTACATGGTCATTTTAAGAACCAAAATGGGACTTACGACTCCATCTGCCAACATCGCTTTTCTTCCAACTTTTGCACTAAGTTAGGTGATCATAGATACTATGTTTAGAGGAAAACCACAGAATTCCTGCATAAATGGAGTTGTGTAAATTGAAATCTACACCACCTCCGAAAACAGGCACCGTGGATGTTTGGACCTGTCAGAACATCAAAACCGGAGATGATTTTACATTTTAGGAAATAACAAATGGAATTAAAGTAACAAAATGGAATTAAGGAAGTAAACAATTCTGCTCTGTCTGGGAAATAAGCTAGATGATCTAATAGATGTTTCCATCTCGGGTTTCTGTTCATGAAAAACATTTGCTTGTCACCTGGATGACCAGAATCGCTGAGGTGATAAGACTATGATTTAGGGATTTCTTTTGCCCGTGAACGCATAGCCTGGGAATGACATACATTGGGCTTTGCAGCTCCAACACCTCAGTTGCTTGGGCTGATGGGCTGGAGAGCTGCTTTCTTAAAGGAGGGAGGACCCTGTCCATCCCAGATGACAGCTGGGCAAAGCCACACCTACGAGGGACACATGGCCGTTTTTGCCCTAACAGCCTATGCGCAGGTGACCCCGCCAGCCTCCGGACACCTGCCCGAGGGCTCAGACTAGATGGTGGTCAAGCCCTTAAGGAGAAGACTCCATGCTCTGAGTGTGGAGAAAATGTAAAAGGATATTTTCTGCCCAGAAAAGACCCGGTCTCTCCAGAAGGGAAGCTCGAACTCCCTGCCTCTGCCAAAACAGTTAGATGCAAATGATCGATGCTGATGCTGAAGCTTAGCCAGCCAAACATCTGCACTTTAAACTGCAGGAAAAGGAGAAGTTAATCTACTTTCTCCAAAGAAAGGGAGACGTGGTGTGTGAGAGGTCGTGGGGCTCCTGATGTGTGGAGATGCGTCTTGCTGTGAGAGAGGTTCCGACCACTGTATCACATACACGCGATCACAAGGAGGCAACAGAAGAACATGCAGGCTTCTCCTTGCTGGATGAATTATTTTGATGTACACGGAAAACTTCACCGTGTCCTCCAGGCATCTCCTGCGCCTTTGCTGGGAATACTAGCTTTTAACTGTGGTTTTCTTTCTCCTATTGATTCCAGTGGAGGGCCCTGAATTAGAATTCTGAATGCCCTTTGATCTTTCCTTTGAAATAGTAGAAGTGGATACTCTTTGGGGCAGACCCATTTGGTTTGATCATGGGCTGGAATTAAAGTGGTATAAATACTTGTCTATGGTCCCAAGCATCCTTTTCTTGATTTGTTGGGTGAAAGACTAGAGGCTTTTACTGCCTTAATAAGGAAACCTGGACCGAATGCTGACTCTGCACCTGATAAATCTTTCCAAATTGCCACAGGTGAAATGAAATGTTAATATCCCTTTCAATTATTAATAAAAAAATGTAAATAGATTTTGTTGGAAATGTGGGCCACTGAAAATGAAGTATTTTAATATACGTGTAGATTTTTGTTGTTGTTCAATTACTAAAGAACTTTTGTTTTTTTAAAGCTTCTTACATATTAAAATAGAGAGGTAATTCTTTTCATAAACTGGAGTTACTGCACTGGAGACTTTCTGTATTTCATTGTATTACACAAATCAATTTTAATTGTAGAAAACATTAAGTACAGATAAGCAAAGAAAAAAAGTCTCGGATAATCCTACCACCGAGAGACAGACAAACTAACACTGTGTTCTTTCAGACATTTTTCTTAGCACATATATTTTTTTTTCTTTAGTACCCATTTCATGCAAGCCAGTCTGAAATCTGCCCTTATTTCCCCCAAATAATTTATTTCAATAGACATAAATTCACATCACCACGTTAAGGGTCATGTAGTGTCCCACTGAATCAACATACCATCATCTATTATTGAATTTCCATTTGCTGGCTGTTCACCATGTTTCCAGTTCTGCAGTAATCTAAAAAAAGATACTCTTGTATGTGTATTATTGCATAATTGCCTGGGTTTTTTTTCCACTTTATGATAAATTTAAACCACAATGCCCATCGTCCCTTCAAGAAAGAGCTTCTGAGCTCTTGTTTGTAAGGCGATTTCACTCTTTACTTTTACTTTAGGTATACGAACACCAAGATGGCAGCAAATCGCTGAAGCTGGGTGACTTTGGACTGGCCACCATTGTAGACGGCCCCCTGTACACGGTCTGTGGCACCCCAACATACGTGGCTCCAGAAATCATCGCAGAAACTGGGTAAATACTTTCCGCGGTTTATTGGAGTGCTGTGTTTGCCAAAGAACTAGTCTGCTTCGAGAATAGGAGAAAACAGCCCTGTCCTAGTCTGCTTCGAGAATAGGAGAAAACAGCCCTGTCCCATCCAGACAGAATTAGCTATCAGATTTCTTTCAACTCTTTTTTTTTTTTTTTAACTTTAAAGTGAGAGCCATTTTCTCTGTTTCTCCAATCAAGTTGCCAATTACCGCAATCTTGTTCAAGGCTTCCATGTGGCCTTTGTTAAAGGTAGAACAGCAGTTATTAACCCCAGAGTAAAAAATGTTCAGACGAACAGAGAAACATACAGCGATGGTAATTAACTTGCTTTTGGATAAAAGAAACAGACACTGCTGTGTGCGGTGATTACAGTCTCCTGTGGTTATTTCTCTCCACTATCCTTATTCTCCTGTCCCACTCTCATTTTGGCTCTCTTGGCGGTCCATTGATTATCTGTGCAGTACAAACACCCTTAGGCATCAGAGGGCCACTGGGAATTTTCTGGTGTCTGTGTGCAGCGGTATTAGATGAATGAAAATCTCTAGACTGGGGGGAGAAGGCGGGTGGCACAACACTTACTAAGGACCTACTCTCTGCCAGGCGTAAGCTCCTTTGCTTGATTCTTAACTCATCCAGTAGATGGTATGATTCCCATTTTGCACATGAATAATCTTGCTGCCGTGGTTGGGTATCCTGGAAGCTCATGACTGGTTAGTGGCTGAGTCAGAATTTGAACTCAGGGCTGTGTGAATAAAGGGCTCTTTCCATAGAGAGCCCTATTTCTTGCCAGAGATCATAGGCCAAGTTGTGAAGCACTAGCCTCACACAGAAGGATTGGGGAAGGGTGGTGCACCAAGGGGAAATGGCCTTACTTTTTCCCCTCAATGAGTGGCACCAACCCACACCTGAGGGTCTAGGTTGTATCCTCCCCTGTGATCCGTGGAAGATAGTTTTACTGCTTGACCTTTGACCGGAAAGGCAGAGGAACAGAATAGATGAGAAGGGAATGCCAATTGGGAGATCCCTAAGGTGGGATTGGGGGTAAATGAGGACTTTTTTATTCGTCAAATTTGAGTGAGTTGGGAGCCAACATTTGTAAACTTGCCGACCTCCCTCGGGGCATGCTGCCTCCAGTATAGCCAGCTACATTTCCTAGTTTTCTACCCTGAGTACTCTGACAGCCTGCTGGATGGGAGGAGTCCAGGGGAGAAAGACGATTGAGTCAGGCTCTTGGAAACCCTGCTTGGAACCCTGCTCTGCCACTCACTAACTGTGTGATCTTGAGCAAGACTACCCCTCTGATCCTCGGTTTTCTCCTCTATAAAATAGGCAACAGCACTTATCCCGTGTAATGTAGAGTGATGGAAAAATAGCATAAGATAATGTACGTCAGTGCTTTACGAACTGGAAAATGTCCTAGATGTAATTATGTTTTTTAACATTGGGACTTAGATCATTTCAAGGTTCCATCCCCATCTTAAAACTGATATGACCGTAATAAACCTTTTCGATGAAACCTCTCTCACTTACGGATACTTGGATATGATCCTAGACATGCTTTCCTTTGATTTTTATTCATATGTCTTAGACAGTCTCTCTCTCTCTCTTTTAATTATTCTTCCCTTGAATTCTGTTTAGCTGGTGGGTTTTCATTTAGTGTTTGCTGTTGGGCTTTAAATTTTGTTGAGTTTGGTTTTTGATTTAGAATAGTAGAGTCATCTATTTTGCCAGTGCCCCATAATTTGTCCCGGCTTGACTTGTGCTAACTCTAACGTCACTTACTTTTGCAGATATGGCCTCAAGGTGGACATCTGGGCAGCTGGTGTAATCACTTACATCCTGCTGTGCGGTTTCCCTCCATTCCGTGGGTATGGGCAGTCATCTTTTATTCAGCACCAACAAAGCATTTCTGTACTCTCTGAGTGATCCATTCCGCCTTCTTGCACAAAGGAGCCTGAAGCAGGAAGTGGATGGAAGAACTTGACTTCTAGTGCCTGTTATTTTTTCTATGTTGTACACACTCATTTACATGCCTTCCATAAATCCCCCTCATAGAATTTAAAAACTCATTCTTTCCTCATTGTCCAAAACAGTTCCATATTGACATTTTGCATAGCTTAAAAAGACACATTTTACACACTTACGGGGAAAGGAAGGGCTCGAATGCAGAAGAGTGGAGAGACATGCCCTGGGTTAACATTTTAGTGCTGTGTTTTTCCTTGTTGTGGTTCGTGTAAACAGAAGCGGTGATGACCAGGAGGTGCTTTTCGATCAGATTTTGATGGGGCAAGTGGACTTTCCCTCTCCGTACTGGGATAACGTTTCTGATTCGGCGAAGGTAGGTTTCCAGTGCATTTTCTTTTCCTGAGACCCTGTGTGTCTTAATGCAGTTTTACCTAATGATGTTGTAGATAAGATTTCTGTCCATTTTTGTTTAATTACTGGGTTTGCCAGGAGTCCACGGTCATCAAGTCATCTGTTTGTCACCATCCCAACTTACCAAGCGTCTCTGTTTTCTGGCTTCATTGCTTCCTGTTGTCACTCCAGTTATACTGTGTCTTGCCACACCAGCCAACCTTAAATTTTGGCATAGCTTGTGGCTTTACCTCTTTTGGGTCTCAACTCAATTTCACCCTCTCAGGGAAGCTATCCCAGACCACTCTGTTTTCAGATGCATCTTTAATCTTCCTAGTTCGCCTAATGTTCCTCATCTGCTCTGTTTTTCTCTGGTAGCCCTTACACCCACGCGTCCTTCTGGTATACCATCTACCTACCTTTCTCTATCTGTTTACTTTTCTGGACAGGTAGATATAGGTAGGTGTATACATCTTACTTGTGTCATTTATTTTCTAGTTTTCCCTCACTTTTCATCAAGACAAGGATTTTTGTGTATTTTGTTTATTGCTGTATCATCAACCCCGATGTAGTGACCAGTATATAACTAGTGCTTAACCAGTATGTATACATGTTTAACATGTATTAAAATGAATGAATAGGAGATCAGCCTCTAAGAAAACTGCAAAAATCTTACATGGAGACATTGGTAGAACTCAAGATAAAAAAGAAAACCTTTTAATGTCTCCAAGCATTGACTTAAATTTTTAACAAATTGATGTTAATTGACTTTTTATTTTATTTTTTTATTTTTTATTTATTTGACAGACAGAGATCACGAGTAGGCAGAGAGTCAGGCAGAGAGAGAGGAGGAAGCAGGCTCTCCGCTGAGCAGAGAGCCTGATGCGGGGCTCGATCCCAGGACCCTGGGATCATGACCTGAGCTGAAGGCAGAGGCCCCAACCTACTGAGCCACCCAGGCGCCCCAATAATTGACTTTTGATTATTCAGTGTATAAGCCTTTCCTTTCTCTGTGTCCTGAGTGTGAGTTCAATTTAAAACCTGATTTTTCTGTGGGGGTAGAGGTATTTTTGCCTGTGAGCAGTCTCTTCAGAAACCTCTCTACCTCTCAGTGCCTTCAGTCCATAAACGAGGGCTCCAGGTCATTGACAGAGAGTACCATCTCCCACATCCCCATGCCACCTGCAAAGGGCATCACACCAGCTCGTTGCTTTAATAAGTCCTGGCCCATGTTGGAAAGTGAATGAATGCCTTCTTGCACAGAGGAGCCTGAAGCAGGAGAAGAACATAATGATAACTTTATGGTAGAATCTCTACATCAGTGAAAATAAATCATCCTCATCACAGAATGGTAGTCAGACCCCATGACTGTAAGGACCTGGATAACACATATCTAACCATTTTGTTACATGGGAACTTCTATTCCAAAGTGGACAAGTGTGTGACAGACTCATCATTAAAACTCAAGCTGTGCTTTCCTGGTCCAAATCATTTTGAACTCATGAGGAAGTCTCATTAATTTCCGAACCATTAAATCATTTGCCCCTTAATAGTTCCATTTTATTGGTATTGATTGATGTGAAAATTTTTGAAGCAATGTTAACAGATTTCTGTATTAAGCTAACCTAGAAATCTCCATTAAAGTGCGATATTCTAGACAAAGGAATATTAATCCTTTAACTTTAATTTATTTCTTCTCTACTAAATGCACTTCAGTGAAATTTATTCTAATCTTTATTTTTTTTCTCACCATATATTTATAATTCTAAGTATTGACCTTTTCTTTAACTTCTAAGGGTGTTAGATTCCTGTGGGTAAGCTGAGTTGATATATTTAAAACGTAGAGCTTTTCTAAACTAAAAGAGAACTTCAGCATAGGAAAATGCTCAGAGTTTTGCCATAAAAATGAGACAAATGGAATTGAATGTTCCCTTCCACAGGAGCTCATCACCATGATGCTGTTGGTCGATGTCGATCAGCGATTTTCAGCTGTGCAGGTCTTGGAGCACCCCTGGGTTAACGTAAGTGACTTCCTCCTTTCCCCATACACACTTATAATGTTCGTTTCTATTTCCTAATGATATCGCCTCCTTTGTAAAGTACTGTGTTTGTATTTATTCCTCCCCCGCAAACATGCTGGAACAGTGACGGCATCTCAGACTTGCTCCTCTGAGTCCGTGCTGACGGGTACTCTCACGGTCCCTTGCACAGAGCCTTTTGATGCAGAAGGGGCTGCTTTCCAACTGGGGAGGTGCATGCACATGGACAGCGCCCCTGCCTCCAAGCTACATTCTGAATACAGCAACAGCAGCAGATTTTCTTAGTCAGTCCTGCTTTTGCATGATGCCTACCAAAAATACGTTGACCCAAGGGTCCCCCATGAGGCTTGAAGTACTCCAGTGCAGCACTACTCATTCTGGAATGCGCTCACAAGTCACCTGGGGGTCTTGTTAAAATGCAGATTCTGATGTCGTAGATGTGAGGCTCTGAATTTCTAAAAGCTCCCAGATGCTGCTGCTGCCATTTGAGTGGTAGAGTCTAACAATATGAAATTCTTTATGAAAGAATTCCCCAGAGCACAGTCATTGTATGTTGTCCCTCTGTCTCTCCAAAACGGACTGATCAGGTTTTGATCAGGTTTTGAATCATAATAAATAGGCAAAGAGCGCTTCACTGACGAAGTTTGCCCAGGACTCTTCTAAGCCCCTCTCATATGTCAACATCGTGTTCTTCCCAACAACTGGATAATCTAGGTCCTACTGTAACCCTCCGGACACGTGGAAGCTCCAGCCTTAGGTTAATGGTTCTTACCTCCAGAGTAGAAGACGGACAGAGATGCACTTATAGAGAGAGGGACATGAGCACAGACAGGGACAAGTATAACCTGCTTAGCTCACAGATAGGGATTTTGCCAGCCTTCCTACAGCTTCAAGTAATCTGGCTGTGAGTTGAAGGCAACAAAATATTCCACTTCTCTAAATTATCACCATAGTGATTAGTTAAGTGGTTTTTTTTTCCCCCAAAATCACTAATTTTAAGGATAATTTTAAGGATAAGGTGTGATTGAAAGCACAGTGTTGAGACAGACTACATCCAAGGTGACAAGAGTGTAAGATCTTGTTCATGTTCTGACATGTGATGGCCATGGTCCAAGGTTCTAGCACTTTATTTTATTTATTTTTTGTTGTTTTTAAATTATTATTAACATATAATGTATTATTTGCTTCAGGGGTAAGGTCTGTGATTCATTAGTCTTACACAATATGCAGCACTCACCATAGCACATACCCTCCCCAATGTTCATCACCCAGCCACTCCCTCCCCTCCAGCAACCCTCAGTTTGTTTCCTGAGATTAAAAGTCTCTTCTGGTTTGTCTCCCTCTCTGGTTTTGTTTTGTTTCATTTTTTCCTCTCTTTCTCTATGATCCTCTGCCTTGTTTCTTAAATTCCACATTTCAGTGCGCTCATATGACAATTGCCTTTCACTGATTGGCTTATTTTGCTCAGCGTAATACCCTCTACTTCCATCCACATCGTTGCAAATGGCAAGATTTCACTTTTTGATGGCTGTGTAATATTCCATTGTATATATACACCATATCTTCTTTATCCATTCCTCTGTTGATGGACATCCTGGGCTCTTTCCAGAGTTTGGCTATTGTGGACATTGCTGCTATAAACATTGGGGGTACAGGTGCACCTTCAGATCACTATGTTTGTATCTTTGGGGTAAATACCCAGTAGTGCAATTGCTGGGTTGTAGGACAGCTCTAACCCAGCATTTTATATGTAGAGGAGTAAAAACAGGAGAATATTTATAAATGTTGAATGTGTGTATAGACACACAACTAAGGTTTGTTTTAAATATTTTCATAGAGCAGAGCTTCCCAATTAGTATACAAATGTATAAAGCTATCAATCCCCTTATCCCTTGGGATAGTCAGGCAGGGCAGGTAGAATCTAGAAGTGATCACCTCCAACCTCAGAACCTTTGCATTTACCCCAGGGTGCTAAACAAAAGTTATCCTCTTCTATGAAGTGGGCAAAGTTAGGACACATCTCAGGTAAGCCTAATAATAAACCTACAGGATAGGCAGAGTGGGTATTACTGAATGCATTTTACAGATGTGGAGACTAAGGCTATGGTAAGTGACTTGCTCGAAGTAGCAAAATTTATGATTGAGCCAAAATTTGCAGCCAGGTCTCCTCACTCCAAGCCTATTTGCTTTCAAGTCCTATGTACCACATTATACCTACCCATCCTTTGTTATACATGAATGTACCATGAATATTGGGAAAGAATGCATGTATGCATCGTATCATTATAATGATTGTTCGTACAAGTTAGCAACATCTTCAGAGGAACTTACCTAGGTCATGGCACCTTTCCCTTAGATTTGCAGAGAGGAAGAGGCATAGGCCAGCTTCTGCCTTTCTTGGTGGAAGCAGTTGATTCTGATCGATCTACATGCTAATTAAAAGCCCATGATCTACAAATTGTCAAATTGCATGATAGCACGAATAACAGTGGGACTATGATCACACAGAATAACCCAGAAAATCTGAATCTAAAACATGGCCTTTGAAGGCTCACAAAGAGCCACTGAGGAAAGAGATTTCGCAGACTGCAAATAGCCATTTTAGATTTTAAAATACATTTTCTTTTTTTGAAGATTTTATAAATTTATTTGTGAGAGAGAGATAGAGAGGGAGAGGGTACAAGCAGGGGGAGCAGCAGGAGGAGGGAGAAACTGGCTCCCCACTGAGCAGGAAGCCCAATTCGGGACTCGATCCCAGGACCCTGGAATCATGACGTGAGCCGAAGACAGACACTTAACCGACTGAGCCACCCAGGTGCCCCTTTAAATACATTTTCTTCAGAGGACCACTGCCTGGCAGACCCGCCCTCTAGAAGCTCTGATTCAACCTGTTCACAGGACAACGGGGGTGGGGGGTTGAGAGTTGGGGAAGGCTACCCCAGACAGCCTTTGGGTGGGGAGAGCGGTGCTATAAAGGATTTCCTAGAGAAGGAGATGCCACAGCCCCATGCTGAAGGAGGCCAGGAAGTAGGTGTCCAGAAGAGGATCTCTGGCAGGATATATGTATTTCTTTTAAGATAACTTTGTGGATGTGAGCAAATTTGTCTGTATATTCAAGGGGGCCAGAATGCAATTAGAAACAGCCTTACCCTGATTCCAAACCAAATGAGCCTATATCCATATATATCCCAATTCCATGGGATAAAGAAAAAAATTAGGAAGATTTTCGGCTATACCTTTGAAAAACTAGGCTGCTCCTTTTCCTAAAGCAGCCTGTACATGTTTCAGCATAACTTTCTGTCTTCTCAGCCTGCTTTGTACACATTTTTACACATGGTCCCACTTTGCTGGTAATTAGGGTCCACCACTCCCTCTAAAACAGGACTTCTGCTCTCATTTTAGTTTTCCCTCTGATTCCCTAAAGACATTTTTTTTTTTCCCCTAAAGACATTTCTTAAAAGCGAGGATAACATTTAAGGAATTATCTAGGAGATTTAAAACTAAAAAGTACCCTTTATATCATTCTAACAGACCTTAGATTCTGAGGGAGAAAAATATTGATGTTAGCCGAAACTTAAAAAAAAAAAAAAAAAAAAAGGCTAAAAAACCCCGAAATGTATGAAATGATTGCTTAACTTTTGAAATTGTATTTGTGGTAACTAAATCAGAAAAATGATTATTGTCTCAAAACATAAATGAAAAATCATATATAAGCTTTCACAACCAGCATTTAGCATTTGCCAAGATCTCCAAGGGCAACAAATGAAAAACCAAGCAATCAAAATAAATAGATTAGGCATTTAAATGGAAGTCCATTTAACAAGACATTTTGCATTTGGCTATCAAATTATATCTGATCACCACAGAGAAGTCTACCTTGGGGGGAGAGGTAATAATAATTATCTGAGCCCTGAGGAAATCGTCAGAAAGCATTTCCTGTACTCTAATTTGTCCTAATTTTCTCTGTTGCTTATACAGTGACCTTTTCACTTGCTGCCCTCGGAATTGAAAAGGCAGTCTCTTATGAAACAGAGAGTGGACCAATAGAATCAGAAGATCTAGTCAGCCAAAGTCACTTGTTTAAACCTCACTCTAGGCTCATTTTTTCATTTATCCTGGCTGGGAATCCCACTGTGCACCTTGGTGTTCTGGGCTGCTATTCTTTTTTTGTTGTTTTTTTTTGTTTTGTTTTTGTTTGTTTTAAGATTTTATTTACTTGAGAGAGAGTGAGAGAGAATGAGAGGGAAGAGAGGGTCAGAGGGAGAAGCAGACTCCCTGCTGAGCAGGGAGCCCGATGCGGGACTTGATCCCGGGACTCCAGGATCATGACCTGAACTGAAGGCAGTCGCTTAACCAACTGAGCCACCCAGGCACCCCTCTGTTCTGTTATTGGAAGAGTCATGAGTCCTCAAGGCATCTTGGTGGATTGTTCTAACAAACCAGCTGAACAAAGGGAGCATCAGTGTGCAGCCAGGTGTCTAGGAGTGGAACGTGGGCTTCCAGAAGGAGCAGCAGCTCACCCTCCTGTTGTAACCTTGGGACAGTCATTTCACTCCTTTGAACCCATTTTTGTGTCTGTGAACTGAAGATAATAGAATCAGTCTCTTAGGTTGTTATGAGGATGGAGAACGAAATATATATTTGAAGGGTCTGAGAGGACAGTCTTTAAGCACTAGTACTGTATAGGTACTTGATAAATATTTGTGGAATTTGGGTCTGAGAGAGGCAACAACTCTGTCATCTGTTGCTATGTGCTGATGAAATGCAAATTCTGATGGATGTTGGCGTAAGAGAAATTTGATTAAGAAGGAGAACCTTCTCATCCTAGCCCCCCAAATTCCATTAGTGTACCCTCACCTCCATGTAGATAATGTGTACATTATCGGCTCTGTTGTCTTCTTTAGTATCACGGCTGTTTCCTTTACTGTGACTACAGAATATCAACAGGGATTGTCCTGGCTTAAGCTGATTTACCTTAGCAC